GCGGGCTTGCCTGCGCCGTGCCGCCCCAGCCGCCCGCCCGCCGCCCGGCTCCCGCGGCGACACGCCACGGCCGCTGGGGGGAGACAGTAGCGCGCGGCGGGCTGGCCGGGCGCCGGGTGCGGGGTGGCGGCGCGGGGCCGAGCGTTTCTCACAAGCTGGCGGAGGCCCGGGAGCCGCGGGAGAAGGGGCACGGGCGCGCACTAATGGGGGTCGCAGAGGCCAGGGTCCTTCGGCCCGGGATCCGGGCTCGCCATGGCCCCTGGCCCGAGCCTCCGACCTCGTTTAACCTCCTTAGAGCAATCCGAGGGGAAGGGGTGTCGGGAAAGGGTAGAAAGCAACCTGTTTATGGATTCCCTGGGACCAGATGGAGCCCAGTATCCCACACAGCAGTCCTGGGACGGCGGAAGCCCAAGACTAGGGGACAAGCAGCGGGGACGCTTTCATAAAGACCGATCGAGTAATCAGGGCCTGGCGGGGAGGATGATGGAAGCGTGCCCGCCGCAAAGCCCCTAAAGAATAACCCTCTCAAGTCACGACTTTAAGAGGGTGAACGTTTTGTGAATTTACCGGCTCCAGCCCGGCTCCCCTCCCGTCCCACACGCCAGAGGGTCCCTGCGTTCAGAAAAGAGGAGGAGAGGCCCGCTGAGCATTGCCTTTTGGGTCTTTCCCAAAACTGCCGGGAAACAGGGAAATGCATCTAGCGCTGGCGCAGGCGAATGCTCAGGGCACAGGGCTGGCCCCTCAGCGGGCCCCCCCCCCGAGTCCCTGGCACCCGGGGCTAACCCTGGGATCCCCCGCGGAAGGGAAGGGAATCCTCCTCCAACCTGGAGGCTTCCACCCCTCTTCTCCCTTTCAGCCTTTAACCCATTGAAACTTATTTTTATCTGGTGAAATTTCAAGCAAAAAGCTTGTTCAGTGCTCCAGAAGCTGGAACAACCCGAAGACCAGTGAAGCTCAGTTTGCAGGAAGCGCGCTACGCCGAATTGCGCAATGGTGAGAGGCGTGTCCATCTCCTTGAAATACCGGAGAAATTACCCCATAAACCTCAATGGCTAAGAACTCTAAACTTCACTGCTGTCCCAGACTTGGCTTTCAACTTGGGAAGCCTGTGAGTTCATCAGACCGTGTTCATTCAGGTGCTGCCATGTTTTTTTTTTTTTTTTTTTAAAGCCTCTTTATCATTTTCATTTTTTCCAAATTATTAAATATTTTCACGGTGAAAAATAACTCTTCAGGTCACTGCGGAGACTAGCAGAGACCGAATGGTTCTGGAGCTCAGTTTTCTGGGGTTGCCTACAGGGAAAAAGAGGTGTTAGCCTAATCCTCACCAGCTTGGGGCAGTGAGCTAGGCGCCTGCACCCTGAGGCAAGGTCCCCTGGAGAGAGGACTGTATACAAAGGTACATATCCTGGAGGCTGTATTCAGGTGGGCAGGACTCAGAGCAGTTCAGGGGTCCAGGCAGGACCAGTGGTGGTGACCTAGTTTCAGCTGAAACTGACTGAAGGTCTCCTTGTCTGGGTCTCATGGGCTTTTCTGGTGACCTCATTTTGTCCAGCTTTGTTTTGTAAGGATAGGTTGAGAAGGAAAATGATGATGTCTGTCTGTAAAGTACTGTGAGTTCATTTAATCTGCAAGAAGAGGGGTATGCGGTGGACGGTGACGTATGGGCAGGCATTAAAACGTTTTCTCATTTTATGGCCTCAGAAGCCCTCTCGAGTTTTGTCTGACCCATTGTACTGATGAAGAAACAGTTCCAAAGATGCTCAACAACTGGCCCAGCTCAGCCTTGTGCTGCGACTTACACCCTGGTCCCCCGCCTCCCAGCCTTGTAGTCTGGATTGACCAGCTGTCCCTGACAGCACAGTGCCCAGCCAGGACTCTGGCTGGGTGGGGTATCAGCACCAGCCCCTGGCGGATGAGAAAACCCCCACCAGAATGGCTGTGACTGTCATTGCCACAGTCAGCTGAACTTGGGTGAGGAAGGCCTCAGGGAAACAGTTGTGGCAGCGACAATGATCATTTCTACCTGAAGCAGGGAGGTCATCCAGTGTGATTTGGGAATGGTGTAGCCAAAATCCCAGGTAGCTATCATAAAACCTTCATGTTTGAGTGGGATTATTACTAGGGTGGTCACATAATTTATTATCTGAATGCAGATACTTTTTGAGAGTGAAATGCTGGCCAAAGCAGGACCGACCAACACCCAAGATGGTAGTCATCTTACTTAGTATCTATCCATCATACTTATAGCATCTCCGATCAGCTCTTGAAAGGGCAAAAGCCAAATGTTAGTGAAAAAAAAAGGAAAAAAACCCTAGATTTATAACAAGAGGGGAAGCGGTAAGTAAATTATACCTAATCCACTTGAGGGTGTATTACGCAGCAATAACCTTATAGTTATGAGGATTATATAGCAAAATGAAAATATTTATGATGTACATAATAATTTTATGTGAGAAAGCAGAGCAAAATTATATCCACACTGTAGCTACAACAACATAAAACTATGCATAGGACAAAAGAGGAGTTGGAGAAAAATTTACATAGTAACAATTATGACGGATCCAAACATTTGCTTCAGAGTCAGCATGGCAGGGAGATGCAGGGGTGGGAGGATGACCCGTATGGTTTGTAAACCTCCCTCATTCTTTTATCCCAGAAGATTCTAGAAAGTTCTACCTCTCAGCAATGTGTAGAAGTTACCATTTGTTGATATAGTTATTTTTTTACTTTGATTTTCAAATATTCTGAAAAGGAATATATTGCAGTTATAATGAAAAACTGTTAGCAAATTTAAAAATTAGCTTATTGAATAAGTTCACATTGAGACAGTTGAACTGAGAGCATTTAGTTAAATAAAATAATGTCTAAGGCAGTTGTGAGTCTCTTGCTTCTCTGTTCTCAAGTAGTGATGGGGTGGGGAAGGGGACGCTTTGGGAATGTCTGCAGAAAGAGCCTTCCCAACCTACCACGGAAGGGAGGGAGGAAAAGAAGCTGGTTGTCTTAGTCACTGATCCTCTGGGAATGGCACTGTCCCTGCCAGTGACTCTCCCACGAGCATTTGAATCAATGGTCCTACGGGCCAGCTTTCTCCAGTTGTGGTTTTTATAGAGAGATGACGAAGTGGGGTTTGCCCATTTATTCTTTGCCTCAGAAGACTACATCCCGGTTTGTCTATTTCTTCATGAGCTCCAATCTTGTCGTCACAAAGGAGTCAACCAGACCACCTCAAAATACCTGCTCCCAGCTCATACACACTGTTCATCCTCTCAAGCGAAGGTGTTAAGATTAGTATCAAAACTCAAAAACATTTCCTGCCAGAAGAGTTCACTCCAAGGCAGCATAGTGTGGATCTCTGATGTTAGCAGGTCACACGGCAATTTATGCCATTCATTTAGGGGTCATCAAAGCTAGCACTTAGATGCACTTGCCACACCTGAAGTGCCATCCCAAGCACTATACATATTCACTTAATTTTCACTAAGTCGGTACCGACTAAGTACGTGCTGTATTTGTCTCCACTTTATAGATGACTAAATCGAGGCACAGAGACATTGAGGTCTCAGCCAATCTGATGGAACAGCAGAACTTTGGGTTAGAAGATAGCGGTCCAACGAGGGTTTGTCTTGGGGAGGGAGGGAGCCACTTCAGAGGCAGTAACCACTCCTGGCGGGCTTCGGAGTCCTCAGGGTTGATAGTTCCCTCTACATGCTCGAACCCCAGCTAGAGCAGGAGGATCTCCCTTGGGAGGGTTCAGCAGTATAATTCGGGTGTCATTCAGGCCGTGTAGCCTCCAAAACAAATTCCTGACCATCCTGGAGATTCTTCGAGTGACATCTATACATTCCTTTTTGGTTGATAAACTCTATAGTTGGTAAGCAAGAACTTTGACTTCTCTAACTGGGATCTGAATGTGACTGCCCCGGCTTGGAATGGTGTCCCCACAGAGCACATGTTCTGGGAGCGTCCTTCACCATACGCTCTCCCTCACTCCTAGCTCGTGGGGCCCTCACGCTGCTCTTAGTTTTCAAAGCTTTTCTTCAGTGACCAACCCAGCTCGCTGTTTTTCCATCCAAACCTAACTCAGGGTGGTACGTGGGTTTTATGTCCTCACCAACTTGGATCAGTTAGTAGAAGCTGCCAAGGGGTGCTGTGAGGGGTGCTAGCATCGAGCTTGGAGAACATGGTCATCAATTACGGTTGTCTGCCGTAAGTGCCCGGCAGGCGGCCTTCCAAGTACCAGGCTGTCTGACTTACCGTCGAGAATTCTGGAAGAGAACACCTTGGTTAAACGAACTCATACGGAATTTTAAGTAATGCATGGTTCCCTAGGAGTATTTATAATTTAAGAGAGTGTGTCCTACATTAGTTAGAACACTGGTTAAGTTGC